GCTAGGGATAGGAATGCAGAGTGACTGCTGGTAGGCACAGGGTTTATTTTGGGGGTGATGTAAATGTTCTGGAAACAGATAGTAGTAATGGGTATACAATACAGCCAATATACTAAAACCCACTGAACTGTACATTTTTTTGGTACCAAGTATTTTATCAGAGACACTTACCCACTGAGCCACATCTTCAACCCTTTTTATATTTTTTAATTTTTTTTAAGTTGTTGATGGACACAATACATTCATCTATCTATCTATCTATCTATCTGGTGCTGAGGATCAAACCCAGGGCCTCACACATGCCAGGCAAGTGCTCTGACACTGAGCCACAACCCGAGCCCCAAGCCCTTTTTATTAAGACAGGGTCTTGCTGAATTGCTTAGGGCCTCACTAAGTTGCTGAGGCTGGCTGCAAACCTGTACTCTTCCTATGTGGGCCTCCTGAGTCACTGGGATTACAGGTGTGCGCCACCATGCCCAACACAGGGTATGCACTCCAGCACCAACAACGTTTAAAAGTATCTATTTTATTTTATTTTCTGATGTGGCAAATATTGGTTGATGCAACTCACATAACCTGAAGCTCTTAGAAGTCCTTCATGATTCTGAAGTTCCTGAGATAAAAAAGGGAGAGACTCCCTGGCCAAGGGTAGACGGGGCTGCCAGGCAGCAGGGCAAGATTTAGGGGAAACTCCAGAAACTGAGTTTCCACTCCTACATTCTTTTGTCTCCTCAGGCCAATTTCAAAATAGAAAACAGAACTACTGCCATCTGCTGTCGCCAACATTTCAGAGGAAACAGCCAAAAGAGCAGGACCCACAATAACATCAACTATTATTTAGCATCGCCCCCACTTTACAGGGAGGCCACAGGCACACAGAAGCCACCAGCTGGGAAATGGCAGAGCTGGGATTCAAACCCCAGGCTCTGGGGCTGCCACCCCCCTTTTTTAAATATTTATTTTTTAGCTATAGCTGGACACAATACCTTTATTCCATTCATTTATTTTTATGTGGTGCTGAGGATGGAACCCAGGTCCCCCCGGCACGTGCTAGGCGAGTGTTCTACTGCTGAGCCACAATCTCAGCTCTGGGGCTGCCCTCTTAACCAGGTACAGGCCACCAGGAGGTCCCATTCTAAAAATAAAGGCCAATCTATTTCTTCCTTCACTCAGTCTTCAAGATCCAGGGTATATTCTACTCTTTTAGCACTACTAATTCAGATGCTAAATTTTCACTGGAGATACTAATTTGGGGGGGGGGGCAGGAGGTGGGGGTGGTAACCAGGGATTGAACCCAGGAGCTCTTAACCACTGAGCCCCATCGATAACGTTTTTATTATTCATTTATTTATTTTTATTTTTTATTATTATTTTTGGTACTAGGGATTGAATTCAGGGACACTCACCACTGAGCCACATCCCCAGCCTTTTTTTGTATTTTATTTAGAGGCAGGGTCTCACTGAGTTACTTAGCGCCCCATTTTTGCTGAGGCTGGCTTCGAACTCCTCCTGCCTCAGCCTCCTGAGCTGGGATTACAGGCCTGCACCATCGTGCCTAGCTTTTAGTTTTTATTTTGAGACAGGGTCTTGCTAAGTTGCTTAGGGCCTTGCTAAGTTGCTGAGGCTGGCTTTGAACTTGTGATTCTCCTGCCTCATACTCTGAGCCACTGGGATCACAGGTGTGTACCACTGCACCCAGTTTCACTAAATGACCTACATTTAGATTTCATAAAATTTAGTTGCAAACATTGATTCCCACACCCTGATTGTTCCATACTTAAAAAGTTTTTCAATAATTGAACCAAATATTGGTGTTTAGATTCTGAAGAGGTTTTGTTTGTTTGTTTTTAAATATTTTGTTTTAGTTGTAGTTGGACACAATACCTTTATTTTATTTTTATGTGGTGCTGAGGATTGAACCCAGAGCCCCGCACATGCTAGATGAGCACTCTACCGCTGAGCCACAACCCCAGCCCCTAAAATTTAGCTCACTTGTCAAAGTAGCTACATATCAAAATGCTCCAGTCTCCTAGGACCTAGTGGTTGTTGTACTGGCCACCGCGAACAGCACGGTGCTAAGACAGAACTTCTTAACAATATGCCCACAATACACAAACATGGTACTAATTTCTTAACATCATGCTTGGCCAGCTGGTGTTTGAATTACCCTGATTATCTCCTAACCGTCTTTTCCTGAAAAGAATGTCTAACCAGTGGCTCTTTAATGGTGGGGTCAGAAGTCCTTCAAGAACCTAAAAAATACTATAGACTTTCTCCCAAGAATGTTGTTAACCAAATAGGTGTTCTGGTACACGCCTATAAATCCAAGCTACTCTGGAGGCTGGGGCAGGATGACAAATTTGAGGCCAGGCTGGGGAACTTAGCAAGACTGTCTCAAAATAAAAAATACAAAGGGCTGGTGATGCTCTCAGTGGTAGAGCACCCCTGAATTCAATCTTCATGCCCAAAAAAGAAAGTTTATAAAGACAAAAGACAAGTCAGTTTTAAAATGGGCAAAGGGGGCTGGGCTTGTAACTCAGCAGTAGAACACTTGCCTAGCCTGTGTGAGGCACTGGGTTCCATCCTCAGCACCACATAAAAATTAATAAAACATAGGTATCATATCCATCTACAACTAAAATATATTTAAAAACGATTTTTTAGTTGTTAATGGGCCTTTTATTTATTTTTTATTTATTTGTATGTGGTGCTGAGAATTGGACCCGGTGCCTCACGCATGCTAGGCAAGCACGCTACTACTGAGCTGCAACCCTAGCTCCTAAAAAATATTAAAAGAAAAAATAAATAAAAAGGACAAAGGATTAGAACAGACATTTCTCCAAAGAAGATCACAATGGCCAATAACACACATGAAAAGATATTTAATATCATTAGTCATTAAGCAATTACAATAAAAACCACACTGAGATACCAATTTACACCCCGTTAGAATGAGTACAGCATGACCAAAATGACAGGCAGTAATAGGTGTTGGTGAGAATATGGAAATTGGAACCCTCACAAATCACCATGGGAATGAAAAGGGGTGCAGCCACTTTGCAAGTTCCTCAAACCCTTAAACGGTCAGTATTTACCCAGCAATTCCACTTCTAACAGAGGGGAAAACGTATGTGCACATAAAAAACTTGCACAAAAAATTCTGACAGCATCATTATTCATAATAGCCAAAAGAGGAAACTCTCTGTCAACTGATGGAGACAATGTGGTCTGTCCTTTACAGTGAAATATTATTCAACCATAAAAAGAATGAAGTACTGCTATATGTTACAACACTGGAGAACCTTGAAACAGATGCCAGGTAAAAGAAACCCACAGAACACACATTGTATGCATTTAAGTGAAATATGCAGATTAGACAAATCCATAGAGACAGAATGGAGATTAGCGGCTGCCTAAGGCAGAGGTGGGGGTGGAGTGGAAAGAACTGGGAGAAATTGTGGAATGAGATTTCTTTTGGGGATGATGAAAATATTATAAAAGTGATAGTGGTGACAGTTGCACAACTCTGAACATGCTAAAAACCACTGAACTGTGTACATGTTAAATGGGTGAACTGTGTTACATTAATGATATTCCACTAAAGCTGATTAAAAAAAAACAAACAAACACAGATGGTTGGTTGGATTTGAGTTGGCTCTACAGACTGTAGTTAGCTGACGATAGATGGTGGAACTAGTGAAATGAAACTCTAAAGAAGCAAAAAGAGCCAGGTGTGGGACTGGGGTTGTGGCTCAGGTAGAGCGCAGCTAGCCTCCCACATGAGGGGGCCCTGGGTTCGATCCTCAGCATCACATAAAAATAAACAAACGCAATAGAGGTATTGGGTCCAACTACAACTAAAAAAAGAAAGAGCCAGGCGATGTGGTGCACCCCTGTAATCACAGCGACTGGGGAAGCTAGGGCAGAAGGATGGCAAGTTGGAAGCCAGCCTCAGCAACTTAGTAAGACCCTGTTTCAAAATGAAACGTGATGTAGTTCAGCGGTAGAGCATCCCTGGGTTCAGTCCTCAGTACAAAATAATAATAAAAGTAATAAAATAAAATATAAAAAGAAAAAGAAATGAAACAAACAAAAACCCAAATTCTAATGGTGAGATGACCCAACAGAATAACTGTTTCAGTTTCTTAAATGAACCCATTACACCAAGGGGGTAAAAAATCCAAAACGGTGGAGCGAAGAGGGGGCTGGCTGTTCTACATTGAGAGATTTAAGCCTGACAAGGTGGCCCACTGTAATCCCAGCTACGGGAAAGGCTGAGGCCGGAGAATCGCAAGTTCAAGGCCACTTGCCACAATTTAGGAGACCCTGTCTCAAAATAAACACCAAAAGGGGGCTAGGGGTGTGGCTCAGTGGTAGAGCAGGGCAAAAACAAAATGAAAAAAAAAAAAAAAAAAAGGTCTGGGAGACTAGTTCGGCAGTAGAGCGCCCGTGGATTCAGTATTGGGGCGGGGGGATCTTGAACATTCTCATAACAAAATATTAATACCGATCCTTCAAGGTCCAAATTCACACCGAATCGACAGCACAGTTAGGATGCAAACCAAGGACTGTCTGATCCCAAAGCTCCACAAAAGAAAAAGTTAACCCCTACACCAACCTCGAGAGGGAAGAGACTGTCAAAGGGGTACAGAGAAGGCAACCGCAGATTGCACAATCCACTACTGCCCGCTCGCCCTCCTCATCCTAGTGAGGCCTCCTTCCTCGACTCCCACTTCTCAGAGCCCCGGGAATCCCAGCTCCTCCTTCCACTGGGACCTCCGACCCATCGCCAACAACCGCCGAACTGCCCGAATGAGAGCTGGCTACTTCCAGAGGATGCTGGGAGATGTAGTTCAGCCTCCAACTTAGATCGTCGGGAGAGCTCGAGTTATGACAGCGAATCGAGAATTCGAAATATTGCCCCTGTCTCCCTCAGAAACCCAGGGAGATAGTCCGAGAAGGACCGCAGCAACATTATCCCTCCAACTCCTAGAACTCACCTCACAAACGACGCCTCCTCGCCGAGTCGCTCCAACTGTGCCCCTACACCGGAAAGAAGTACTGTTTTCTCACTCTGTTCCACCTACTTCCGCCCTGCCGCAGATACCGGAAGTAAAGGTGCCCCTAGTGGCGGGGGTGCCTCTACTGGCTGAGTAAGTCCTTTCTTTTTTCTCTTCCTCCCTCCGGAAACCTGAGAGACAACTCGAAGGTTCCGGTTAGTGAAACTGGCGCGACTACGGCGAACGCTTTGTATATACTAGGCATTTCCTACAGCGGACGATTTCCTATTTTAATTCCAATGCTTTTGAAACTCTCCAAGCCAGATTTCAAGGACTAACCACCTCTCCTTGAGATTGGGATGCCTACATCCCCAAATATAGTATTTATTTTTCATGCTACAGCTTAACAGGTAGAGAAGTGAGAACACCTCTGTTCCCATTTTATAGATATAGCAATAAAGAAATCGTAAGTCAAAGCCATTGAAGTCATTCTCAGAAAATAGTGATTTATTGCGGTATCGCCCGACTATACCAGGGACCAAGACATATCGTTTCTGTCCATTTCTAGGTATCTGGAGAACCAAACATTTCCCTAGCTCAGCCAGGGAGGTTCCCACGGCGTAGCCGACCCCTAAGGGGTCGGGAGTGGGGGTGTGGGGGTGTGGGAGGAGTCAATGCAAACCCAGTCCCCTAAATGCCCAAGGGTATTGGGGAGGTCTCTAAGGAGCTCTGGCCCTTAGGCCCTTTGTCCTAAGGTCCCTTTAAATACTTTGTCCCTAACCTGAGTCCCGCCCAAGGCAGGTAATCGCAAGCCCCGCCTCTCTGCTAGAAACCGAGTTTGGTTACCGGGAACCAAGTACCCCTTCTCCCTCCCCCCTCCCCTCTCCCCTACCCCTTTTCACCTCTGGCTACAGCTGGCTGAAGAGATCCGATTAAGGAGGAGGGGCAGTGCTCACAGGTCTGGGCAGGTAAGTGAATATTCCTAGAGGCAGAACCTGGTTTGAAGACCCTGGTGTTCTTGCTCTCCACCACTTTGAGGCCCAGAAGTTTGGGACCCCCAGACCCAGGAGTCCAGAGCCCCTGTTTTCTCATGCCCTCTAACTCCAAAATACAGAACCCTTCCACTCCTGTAGTCTTTGATCTCTGTGAGTGGATGTGGCAATGGGCAAAGGGAAGTGTAGGTGGAAATTGCCAGGAAAGAAGGAACTGATCACCACCGGACCTGTTTATGAGCACCTACTACGTGCCAAAACCAGTGTTGGGTGCTGCAGACACAGTAGAGGACAAGCACTCCTGTGCTTATCTCTAGAGGAACACGGCCTTCCTCCAAACACTGGCTCTGACATTTGCAAACTGTATGACTATGGGTGTTATGTTACCTCTCTGGGCCTTGGTTTGCTCATCTATAAAATGGGATAATAATAGGACTGCTTTGAGAATTAAAATGAGTTGATACAGGTCCGCAGAATGCGGGCTAGCTAAGTGCCAGCTCTTACTTTCATGCATGCCGAGTCCAGGAAGAGACTCATTCCCCAGGGACTGAGGCACCTGTCATCTATACTGTACTTTGTTCCAAGTGTCCACAAAATATGAAGGGCCACCCTTCTCTGCTGCTGCTCTGTATGGGATTGACAACCTGCCTGGATAACTCACCCAGTGGAAAGCAAGACCAAAGTGAGTACTGGGGGAAGAAGCTGCATGCAGAGGCCTGACCCAGGAACCCTTGCTGCTGGTCCACTCTTCCTTGCCCCAGAATGGAAAACCAGCCCGTCTTAACTCAAACCCAGGCGTCAAAGCCCCTTCCCAGCCCCTTCTCCCAGAAGACCCCATCTTATGTCTGCAGCTCTAGGGACTCTCTATTTTTCTTTCTTTTTTTTTTTTCTATTTTTTCCTTCCTTCTCCTCTCCTCCGCTGGGGCTCAAACTCAGTGCCTCACAGGTGCACGGCCGCACCCTACCACTGGGCCCTATGCTCTTCTCATGTCTTTAGGACCAGACTTCTTCTTGGGTTCCACAGAGGCCCAGAGTTTCCTGGGCAGCCACAGGCGGATTCCAAGAGCCAATCACTGGGACTTTGAGCTGTTCACACCAGCGAACCTAGAGCGGGAGTGTAATGAGGAAAAGTGTTCCTGGGAAGAGGCCAGGGAGTACTTTGAGGACAATACTCTGACGGTGAGGGCTGGGGGTGAAGGGGACTGGAGTTTGGGGCCCTCTGTCTTCTCCATGGTGGAGGTGGGAGGTCCTGGCCCTCAACTTCCTCCTCCTGCGGGTCTTATCAAGGTGGACTCGTTTTGGGGTGTTGTGGATCCCCCACTTGATTTGCTGTCTTCCCTCCTTCTTCTCCACCCCTACCCCTCAAGGACCGCTTTTGGGAGAGTTACATCTACAATGGCAAAGGAGGTGAGTTCTGGCTGAAACCTTTTGTTCCAGGCAGCCCCTTCCCGTAGAAACCAAAGTAATGGGAAATTAGGCAAAAGAATCAGCTGCCCTCACCCTTATTAAGGAGACCCCTCCCTTGACACTGTAGCCCCTGTCTGAGACTCACCACACATACCCTATTAGCTTTCAGGGGAGGCCCCATGTCTCCAGGAAAGGGAACATGTCATGGAGGGAAGAGCTATAGCCCTGGAGCTCATCAGAGGGGCAAGTGCACTGAGCCCCAGCCCCTTTGGGGTTTGCTGGTTACTAGTAGGGGCTGCTCCTTAGCAACATGGGCAGAGCAGGAGGCTTGGCCATCCTTACCTGTCCAGTTTACCCACCCCCGGCCCCTTTTCTGAGTTCTGAGGCCCCATCTTGGCTGCAGCTGTTGCTAAGGGGGGCTGTTCCTTAGCAACGGGGCCTGGTCAGGCCAGACTGAGGAAGCCTGAAGCACTACCTGGCTGGCTTCCCCTCCCCCACAGCCCCATCCCAGCTTCAGTGGCCTGGTTGCTAAGGCGGCCTTCTCCTTAGCAACTGCACCTAGCTGGAGGACCCAAGGCTTCCTGCCCACTGGAGGATCCCCCTCTGGGTACCAGATGCCCCACCCCCTGGTGGCCTGGTTGCTAAGGTGAATGCACCTTAGCAACAGGCCCTAGGCCTGGGCTGGAGTCCTCACATTGGAGCCTGGTTGCTAGGGGAGGTAACTCCTTTGCTACTGTATTAGGGAGGTCTAGTGGTTCCTTGAATCTACCTGAAACCTGCTTGAATTGGAAGGACCTGCCTTCTCAGTGCAGGGTTTTCTTAAGGAAGTCAAAAAGTCCCAGTGATTTAGTTTGAAGGAAGCCCCTCCAGCCCCCACTGTCAATAAAACTGCCCCCAGAAGTAAGTGCCAGCAAAGCCTCACAAAAGAGGTCTCCCTGTGCTCCCTCAGATTAGCAACAGGTCCATGTGAGTTTTGGACATATAATTATTAGGAGGTGTTCCCTAAATTTCTCTATGAAGTGAACGCTTCCTAGCTGTCTGGTAAACTCGGAAACCTTCCTGTAGATTTTGTTCTTCCTTTAGAGTTGAGGCCTTACTTCTCGGTGGCCTGGTTGGTAGAAGGGGTTGCATTCCAGAGCAGGCAGAATTGCTAGATAAAATATAGGAACCCCACCTCCCCCCGACTCCCGTGCTTCCTGCAACAGTTAAATTTAAACTTAAGATATACAATGAATAGTTTTAAAAGTATAAGTGTATCCTAAATACTGCATTGGATATTCTTTTTTTTTTAATTATTTTTTAGTTTTAGATGGACACAATATCTTTATTTTATTTTTTTTATGTGGTGCTGAGAATTGCACCCAGTGCCTCAGGCGCTACCACTTGAGCCACATCCCCAGCCCCTGGATATTCTTTTTTTTTTTAATATTTATTTTTTAGTTGTAGTTGGACACAATAACTTTATTTTATTCCTTTTTATGTAGTGCTGGGGATGGAACCCAGGGTCTTGAACGTGCTCTACCACTGAGCTACACCCCAGCCCATTGGGTAGTCTTATACTGAAACTTATCTGTTGTGTATCTGAATTTCACATTTAACTGGGTGTCCTATATTATTATTGGCTAAATCTGGCAATGCTCAGTGTAGGGGCCTCTTAAAGCCACCTGAGCTCTGTACCCTATCTTCAATGTGTCAACTGCTCACTGAACAGATGGATCATATAGGAGGTTGTGCCCTGACTCTTGGGGACCAGGACACCCCATATCCAAGCAGGGTCTATGTTGTCATAGGGACTTAACTCCCCTTTTTTAAAATCCCAGATGAAGTTATCACAGGCTTTTTTTGCATTTGAGCTCACAGAGCGTTCACAACCTGTGAAGTAGGGGTGGGGCAATTTGGATATTGGAGTGGATGGCAGTCTCTGAAGCAGTGGCTCCCTCTATCCACAGGACATGGACGAGTGGACATAGCAGGCCTGGCGGTGGGGCTGACCTCTGGCATCCTGATAATTGTCTTGGCTGGCCTGGGAGTCTTTTGGTATCTGCATTACCGACGGAGCCAGGGCAGGGGCCAAAGTCAGCAATCTTCTTCCCAAGAGTAAGGGGGCTTCAGGAGGGAGGGGCCAGGGGAAGAGAACAGGGGACAGAGAGAGATTTGACCTAAGGAGTTGTGCTCAGGATTGGGGGCAGGATGGCACTGATAATAGATATGTAGAGACAGGCACATGGAGAAAGTGTCTGTCAGCTGGCTTGGGTCTAGTTCGGGCAGCTGTCAGGCTAGTAGTAGGAGTTCTGTCAACATTTGCTGCCTGCCTATCTTTGGGTACCAGGTTTCTGTGAGATTATCACTCCAATATTGTACGTGATGAGACTGTTTTTGTGCGGCTTGTGAGCCATGGTTGTCTATGGCATGTCAGTTTCCATGGTGACAGGGTGCAGCATGTGTTGTGTGTGCTGTAAGTTGTCTAGGTGTGTCTTTCTCACTAGCAGGGTCTCAGAGAATGTCTAAGTGTCCTAAGTTGTAGAAGTATACTGGGTTTTGGGGGGCGTTTAGGATGAGTTATCTGGGAAATTTGTGATCCAGTGTCTCTCTGGATCTGCTGAGTTCTGTTTCTGTGTGTGTCTACCTACCTACCTCTCTGCAGGCAGTTTCTCTATTACTCTGCCTGTATCTGGTGTATGTTTCAGTGTCTGAATGACAGCCTGCATCTGTGGTTTTGGATTTGTGTCTACTTGTCCATGTACACCTGTTCAGGAGCTTTTCTGCATGTAGGGATAGGCTGAAGGTGACCCTCCTTTCCTCTGGTCAATCTTTCTAACACCTCTGTCCCCCTGTGTTTCCTCTCTATCCTGTAGGTTCCTCCTGCTAACTGCACCTTTTCTGTCCCCAGGGCCGGACTCATCAGCCCTCTGAGCCCTCCAACGCCCCTACCTGCACCTCCACTCCTACCCCCAGGCCTCCCCACCTACGAGCAGGCGCTAGCAGCCTCTGGTGTGCACGACGCACCTCCACCCCCTTACTCAAGGTACTGGGAGGGCTTCTATCAAGGGGCGGGGCGATGAGGGGGAGGGCACTGTCGGAGGGGGGGCGTAGGTCTAGGGGCGGGATTTGGAATTTGGGGCTTATCACCGGGGGCAGGGCTTGGAGTGCGGGGGTGGGGCTGCATGCAATTGTCTGTAGGGGCGTGGCCCAGCGTTGTGAGAGTGTAGCATTATAGGGGGGTGGGGCTTATGCCCAGAGGGTCAGGGATTGGCTGAGAAGCCAAGGGCGGATCGGAGTGGTCTCGGTTGCGGGGATGTGGGGTGGGGACAGCCGGATCCTTGACTCTCCTCCATGCCCCTCCCCTTGTAGCCTCCGGAGGCCTCTCTGAAGATCTGCTACAGAGTCCCGGCTGCCCGAGTTGTGCCCCTGATTCACACCGGATTCCGGAAGTCCCCAGGCCTCTTAGATTCTGGAGTTGAGCTTGGGGGTTGGAGGGATTAGGGGTCGTTCGACCCGAGGCCTATCCCGTCACACGTGTTTCCGCCGCTTACGGATACACGCACGTCCCCGGCCGACGTGTTGCGGAGTCAAGGACTTTGCCCCTTGCGTGCCCCAAGGCTCTCCCGACTTGGGGCAGTCGACCAGTCCCGCCCTCGGTGTAGGCAAGCGCGCGTGGAAACTCAGACCCAGTCCGACAGGCCGGGTGTGTGGTCTTGCGTGTGTATCAACCTCCTTCGGATGCCACAGGGCACGCACACGCGGAGAGCCCCGCCCGTACACCCTCGAGTCTTAGGGTAGACTCGGTGCGCGCACAGGGACGCCTCGTAATCCAGAGAAAGGGTAGGGGGTTATATTTGCAAGTGTGGTCGGCGGGGACAGGCTCGTGTTGTATCGGGAAACCGGACTTGAACTGTTCCCCTGGATAAAAACCCTTTGGAAAGGAAATTTTAAAAGGATGAAACAATAAAAAATAAAAATCTCATGAACTGAACGGCGTTCCCGGGCGCATCTGCGCGCGGTGGAGCTGATTTTCTGTACAAACGCTGTGCCCTACACCCCCAGGCTCTGCTAGCGCTCAGTCGCTCAGTCTCTCCCTCTCTCTCTCTCTCTTTTTTTTTTTTTTTTTTTGCATTTGCACGGGATTGTGGGAGGAAGCGGAGCGCAGCCAGACACCCCGCCGCCCGCCCCCCTTCCCCTCCCCCCTCCCCCAGCCGCCTTGTGCAAAGATGGCTGCACCGTGAGCGCAGAGGAGGAGGAGGCGGCGGCGGCGGCGGCGAGAGAGCGAGCACCCAGCGCCTGCACCCACCCTGGGGCCGCCCGGGACGCCCCCTCCCGAGCGTGCTCCCCCTCTTCTCTCTTGCAAGCGCCGGGGCAAAGGCGGAGACAGCGGGGTCCCTCCCCCCCTTTCCCTCCTCCAGGGGGAACCCCCCTTCCCCCCTTCTTGGCTCAGCGGCTGCACCCTCTCCCTTGCCCGCCCCTCGGTCCCTGCCCCCTCCCTCCCCCGCCCGGGGCCTTCCCGGGCCTTCGGCGGCTGCAAAGAAAAAAAGAGAGCGAGAGAAAAGGGGGAAAAAAAAAGCAGCGGAGGGAGCGGCGGCGGAGGAGAGCGCGCGCGCGCCCCCTCCTTTCCCCCTCCCTCCCCCTCCCCCCAATTTCCACCGCGGCCAATTCATGGACAGGAACTACCCCAGCGCCGGCTTCGGGGACCCGCTCGGCGCCGGGGCGGGATGGAGTTACGAGAGGTCAGCGAAAGCTAGGTAAGGAGCTGAGGGTGGCCTGGAGAAAGGGGCCAAGGGGTGGGGGCCGGCCCGGCCGGGCCCGCCCGGCGACGCGTGCATTGCAAACTCCCCTCTGGCTTGCGAGGGAGCGGCCTTCTTCGGTTTGTAACAACGCCGCCGCCCCAGTTTGCAAATTGCAAACTCCGCTAAAGCCAGCTCTGGCTTGCAAAGGGAGAAATGCAGCGGGAAAATAGGGGTGCAAAACAATTTCAGATGGGAAGGCCTTCAGAAGGTGGGAGGGACTGGCGAAGCAAGGCCTGGGCTTCCCCCCATCCTTGGATTCCCAGCTTGATGACCCCCCCCCCCCCCCCCGCGCCCCTGGCTCTGCTCTTGCAAAGGTGGAAGGAAAGGAGAATTAAAACGCAGACCTGGGGGTCACGCACCCCCTTCTAGGTCCTATTGTTCCGGGATTGAGTGAGGCTGAACCACTCGGGCCCTCCCCCCCAAGAAATTCCGCGCGCAGAGTGGGCATGGGGCCCCGCCCCCTTCTTAAGCTAGGGTTCTGTGTGTGTAAGGGGGGGGTCTGGCACTTGGGACACGCCCCCTTTAACTCCCCACCCCAAGAGGCAGAGAATCCTAGTTGATGGCCATGAGTGTTTGCCTTCTTGAGTCTCGGCCGCAGATAGGGGGCCGTTGCATGCACAGTAGAATGTTTGCCGGGTGTGTGTTTGTGTGTGGGAACATGAGTCCTGAGAGTGCGTGGCTGGCAGTGTGTTCACCTGTAAATCTCTCCCTTTCCTGCTGCTTTTCAGTGTTGTACCCTCACTCTTCACCTGTCCCGAACCCCTTCCTCCCATACCTGGGTTTCCCAGTGTGTCAGGATTTCTCGTGTGTGACTCCTCTGTCTGAACCTTTTCTTCCCCATTTGCCCACATACCTGGCTTTGCATGGGCCCATGCATTTGAACCTTAACCCCTGAGGATGGACGGTATTCGTGTTCACACTTGTACCTGGTACTTTCTCCGTTTCTATCCCCTCCCCACCCCCAACTCCTGCCTTATTGAGAACAATCTACCTCCGCTCCCGACTTGGTTTGCAAAACCCCATGAAGTTCAGGGGCTATGCCATTCCAGTGAAGTTGTCCATGTGCACCTCTGCAGTTGGCTCCACTGTCTGTGTTACCGCCACACGTGTGTGTGTGTGTGTGTGTGTGTGTGTAGCAGGGGGTCTTGGTAGGAGGAATATACCTTTTATATTTTCAACTCAGGAAGCTTCCTCCGACTTGCACTCTCTTCTCTTGTTTGTCTCTGTGTGCCTGCCTGTGGAAATGTGAGACTCTCCGAGCTTTATTTATTGAGGATCTAGAGTGAGGGCCATTTTTGTGGGTCTTTAATTGGCAGCCCAGTTTCCCTGTCTTCTTCCTTTAGAGCCCAGGGTTCCTTGGGATAACCCCCTCATCAGTTGGAAGTACCCCCAAACTCCCCGGGGATTTCCTGAGCTCCCTTCTCAGAAGGCAGCTTGGGAGGACATTCTGACATTTCCCCCTTCTCCTCAGCTTGGTCTATGGCAGCTCCAGGACCTCGCACCCCGAGACGGACATCTTACACCGCCAGGCCTATGCGGCCCCCCACCCACTGCAAAGCTATGCCACCAACCACCACCCGGCAGGTACGGCCCCATCCCGCCCGGCTTAGCCTGTCCCTCCCTCGGAGACAGCTGGTTGGCTGCTGAAAGTTCCGCCCATCCTAATTGGCCGTGCCCTGTGTCGTGGCCCGCCCCTTGCTGGCTCTCCTCTGATTGGTTGAGTGTGAGGCTGCTGGTTGCTGCTTAATTTCACGCCGGATTCGTTTGCCCTGTCTCTCTGGTCCCGCCCCTTTTGCTCAATTGGCCGGGTCTTTTCAGCCCCCAAATCCCACCTTCTCTTCCAGGCTTTTCCGCCTCTCTCCAGCTTACCCCAGCCCTCTCCCTCAGGATTCATCCCATTAGCTTCCTTGCCCTCTGAATTCTTCCTGATTCTCTTTCCTGATTGCCTCCAATTATTTGGCTCTCCCTCTTTTTACTTAGATTTGCCCACTGCTTATACTCCCACTTTGGCTTTGCCTCCCACGGTTCTGATTAGCTTTCTTGCTTTGATCCTGACATATCCCCCTCCCCCTTTCCCCAAATGTACCAGCAAAGAGACTGTGCATCCACTTTGACCTCTGACCTTCCTGATCGGCTCCTTCCCACTCTTCCCCATCTGTTTTTTCCCTGGATCCTGCTACCTTGACTTAACCCCTTTTCACTTTTTTTTTAGATCTTTCTGTGACTCCTGTTGTCTGTATTCTCTCCTTCCTTACTAGAATTGCCCACATCTTCTGCCCGCACCCCCTTACTGAGGATTCTGCCCTTTCCTCCTGGTCTCCTTCACTTTGGGATTTTTTCTACTCTTTTAAAACTATTGCTTCCCACCTGGGCTCTCTGCACATGCTTGGATTGCACCTGTTCCTCCTTTACTTTCTCTTTTTCCCTCCCTTTGGCCATCTCAACTTCATTCTGCCTTTTTGTCCTCTTTGGACTTGCCCCACCCATTTCCTTAACTCCACTTAGTTTGGCTATTTGTCTTCCTTGACCCCGCCTGGCCTCCCACCTGCCTGACTCTGCCCTCCTGTCCCTGGCCAGGCCTCTCTGGACTCTTCGACACTGGCCTCCACCATGCAGGCTCAGCAGGGCCCGACGCCTCCGTCATGAACCTCATTTCCGCCCTGGAGTCCCGGGGCCCCCAGCCAGGCCCCTCTGCCTCCTCTCTCCTCTCCCAGTTCCGTAGTCCTTCCTGGCAAACAGGTAAGCGCAGTGCTGCCCCTGGAGGGTTAGGGTGGGGCTGGCTTGTGGTCTGCTCTGACCTCCCGTCTTCTCCATCATCCCTAGCCATGCACACACCAGGCCCCACGGAACTCTTCATCTCGGGTGCCCTACCGGCTTCCAGCACCTTTCCGTCCTCCTCTGCCCTGTCTGCCTACCAGCACCCAGCTTCCTTCGGCAGCCGTCCCTTTCCAGTACCCTCGTCCCTCAGCCTCCAGGACCCCCCATTCAGTCCTCCTGCTAATGGGCTCCTGTCCCCTCATGATGTGCTGCACCTGAAGCCTTCACAGGCACCCACGGTACCCTCCTCGTTGGGCTTTGAGCGCCTGGCAGGAGGCGGCGTTCTGGGGCCTGCTGGCCTTGGCCCGGCCCAGACTCCCCCTTACCGCCCTGGACCCCCAGATCCACCCCCACCTCCCCGCCACCTCCCCACTCAGTTCAATCTACTGGCTTCTTCTTCCGCTGCTGCCGCTGCTGCCGAACAGTCCTCCCCACAGCTCTACAACTTCTCGGGTGCTGCCCCAGGCCCACCGCCCCCTGAGCGGGCCCTGCCCCGCCAGGACACCGTCATAAAGCACTACCAGCGGCCAGCCAGTGCCCAGCCCCCACCGCCTCCGCCACCAGCCCATGCCCTCCAGCACTACCTGAGCTGTGGGGGCAGCTACCCCTCCATGGGCCACCGGGCTAACTTGGCCTGCAGCCCCTTGGGTGGTGGGGAGCCCTCCCCGGGCTCTGGTGAACCCAGCAAGGCTGGTCCCAGTGGAGCCACGGCTGGAACGTCAGGTCGGGCCACGGGCCCTGAGGCAGCTGGGGGTGGTGGGGCCGGAGGTGGTGGTGGAGGTTATCGCCCCATCATTCAGTCACCGGGTTATAAGACAGGCAAAGGTGGTTATGGAGCAGCTGCTGGGGGTGCCACCAGACCCCCACCACCTCGCTCTACTGCCACACCCAAGTGTCAGAGCCTGGGTGGTCCGGCAGCAGCCTATGCCACGGGGAAGACCTCTGGGGCAGGTGGGGCTGGGGGCCAGGCCTATTCTCCTGGTCAGCCCCAAGGGCTCCTGGGACCACAGGCCTATGGGCAGGGATTTGGAGGGGGTCAAGCACAGGACTTGAGCAAAGGACCCAGCTACTCAGGGGGTCCCCCACAGCCTCCTGGTGGCCCACCACCTCCTGGTCTAGCCACATGTCAGAGCTACTCTCCAGATCAGCTGCAGGGGCAGCTCTATGGGGTGCAGGGAGAGCCTTACCCAGGCCCAGCTGCCCACTCCCAAGGGCTGCCCACAGCCAGCCCCTCGCTCAGCTACAGTACTGGCCATTCCCCGGCACTCTCAGGCCATGGAGGTGGCTGGGGACCCGGCTCCCTGGGAGGTGGTGGGGAGGCCAGCCCGTCCCACATCATCCGTCCTCTCCAGTCACCGCCAGCTACTGGCCGCCCGCCTGGAGTCGGCTCTCCAGGAGCCCCTGGCAA